CGAATATAACCCGCTACAAATCATTTATTAATAAAGCTTATTAAATATAAACAATTCCTTCTATCAGTGAATGGACAACTTATATATTAATTGTAAAAGTGAATTATATAGACTTACTTAATTACCGCATCCACGTGTTCCGCAACTCCCGGATCATTCTCACTAGAATACGTAACTTCCATATTTTACTGTATTCAACTGACACAAATTTATATTTATATCCAGTAAACTCCAGTCGTGCGTCGGAGCGGACACACACACTTTTTTTTTTTTTTTTGATTTGATTTGATTTGACTTCACAGCAGATAAACAATACCAAATACCATACCAAATACCAAATATACCAAAATAAAATACCAAATAAAACACAATACAACAGTTATGTTTTTTATTAATTTTTCCAGTCCTCCTTCACTTAGTAAACGAAAATAAGACAAAGTATCAATAGAAATTGACTTTTATTTAAATTTGTATTTAACCCTTTTAATGTTTAGCTTATTTTCACAAGTTTAGCAGAAATTTCTAAGGGATTTCAAAAAAAGTACCTTATAAAAACTAAAAAACACAAAAATCAGTTCTAATTTCACAGCAAAATAATTTTAAATTATTGGTAAATTTTATAAACTTTTAAAAACTTTAAACATGTCCGTACAGGTCGAAACTGCGCAGATAGTCGGTATTCCGACGCTATCCGCATTCACAGAGAGTCGATCTATCGACGGTTCGCGCTCAAAGGGTTAAACACAATTACAGATAAATGCAAAAATAATTTCAGCGTCATTCCATCACAACCGTCTCGTAAATTCAGTTTTAATCTGATGCTGCCTAGTTAAAACTTTGGTTTTTTTATGTATTAAATCCAAATAAATGCAATATTGTAAAGTATTTTATGAACTTTTAATCATTTTAGATGAACAAATTAATTTTATATGAAAAATACAATGGTATACGTAATAGCTTTAATATACACTTAAGTTTTTGGTTTACTTAAATGTGCGTGTTAGCGGCCACCAGAGACAATAGGCACAACGTGGATATTTTCAATCAAATGTCATTTTATAGCATTGACGGGTTAACTCGCTCACGGTTCACATGACGTTAAGTGGTCGCCAGTGCCATGACGTAACATGAATGTCGTCACCTAACTCGAGATATAAGGTCCTGAGTCTCCATTGTGTGACAAGACGAGTTTCCACGCTACAACCTTAACTTCTGGCTTCGCGGCGTAAACAAGCAGGGCGGTGGTACCTACTCGCGTTAGCTTGTTTGCTTTGATTTTTATTACATGATCATGCCTTCACAGTCGATTTTGCTCTTGAATTGTGCTAAGTATTCCAATAGAAAAAATGGTATTTATCTAGTGGCGTAGCGCAAGAAGGGACATCATGCCTAGGGCGCAACTCACAAAGGGGCGCCAAATGGTCCGCAAAACCAAAATTACTGTATTTTTTTATTATAATTGATTTCTGCAAAATATATTTTATATTTAGTGCTAGTGTAATATAATAAATGTTAATTCGTAAATAAAAAGGAGCACTAATAGTCTGATTAGGGCGCGAGTTAAGCTCGCTACGCCACTGTACCTGTCTGCGGAATTTGAACACCGGTTTAAGGTCATCACTCGATGCGAGTACACCGGGCGTCTTATCTATTAGGCCACGGCGACTTACAAAACGTTCATACATTTTCCACTTAATACATGAAATATTATATCAACTACCAAAAAGAAAATGTTTTTTTTTAATTAATCAAATATTAATCAGACCGTTTTGTTATCGATAATGTAATTCCTGACGGAGCCATTAGGTCGGATTTCAATGAAAATGCGGTTTTTGAAATTGACATACTGGAGTGATATCTCTTTATGAATTTTATTTATAAACAGCTATAGTAGAGATCCCATAGAACTAACGAGGTAAACTCAAAAAGGCTATTTAACACTAAACATGCCATAACGGGTCGAATTTGCCCATTTTGAATTTTTGCATTGAAAATACACGTATTACTATAATCTTATTGCTTTTGCACATTTGACTTCATGACTTTTTCTTATCAATTAATCTATAGTTATTATACATTATTTAAGCTATTGCAAAGCTTTTATCGCAGGTTTTGAGCGCGGCGACCGAATCAAGAAATTTCGTAACGAAAATAAAACCTAACACCCTCCACTCCACCTACCATGTAGCTCGCGTTCAACACATTCACAAGTTGCGCTTGTGTAGGTTTGTGAAGTGTTGCGCGGCGTGACGTCACACTGCATGCGTATCATGAAAATTCTGCCCATCTCTCTCTCGCACGGCGTATCTTATGAGTGTGAAGGGATCAGTTAATGTTTTGCTTTTGTTAATGTTTGTAAATAAAGCGTGGTCTTATTTTATTATTGTTTTAATATTAAATTATTATTGTTTAATTATAATTGCATAACTTGATAAAAAATGCTATGCAATAGCTTTACCGCGGCAGTCCCAAGTGCTTTTGCTTTTTTTAGTTTTAGTTTTTGTGTAATACTTGTCGTGTACCGTTAAATACCCGTTATGGTAGAAATAGTTACCAGTAAGTGTTGGTATGATTAGTGTTAAAAAACCCGACTGATACATAATATGGCTCGAAACAATCATAATATTATAGTACATATTCATCTTAAGACTAAACCTAAATAGTTTTACAACAATTTTGTACAATGGAAGTATGTTTTACAATTGACATTATAACTTTTTTGTCTCCTCGAGCCAACAGTTTCACAATCAACACTGAAGGTGCGAGCTCGCAGCCCTTCCGATGTTAAGCGATCACCGCGACTTACAATAATAACATGAAAATATATTTATTCCGTCACTTATCTCTTCCCCTTGAACTTTTCTTACGCACTATTCTTAACTACTTCCGTAACATAAGAAACAAACATAATTAACTATAAAAAATATATTTCAAAATTAGTTCAAAACGGCTCAGAATGTTTATAATTAACAAATTTATTAGTTAACAACACTCGCACATAAAATATTATACAGTTTCTTTGTCGTGTGTGTGTGTTGTATTTAGCCGCCATGAAATACTAGGAACGATAAACTTTCAAATTCTTTATCGGTTTAAAGCCATTTTAGCGTTATTATTAATTATAAATTGCACCTTTATATAATTGAAGTAGTGGCTTAACTTTTAAGAAAATGAGTTTTATTGTACTTTGAACGACTTATAAAGATGCATTCCATCAGTATATAAAATTAAGTTTAAAAAAAAGAAATAATTACATTTAAGTTTTAATGTAGAAAAGGTACAAAAAACACTATCCGTCTGTTTTAAATATTTAAGGCAAAAATCGAAATTTGAAAAATTACAATTCATCAATTACATTTTTGGAGTTTACAACAAAAAAGAAAACAATAATTTTGAATTAAGCCACTTCAATTCTAAAGGTACAATATTGCTTAGACCTGTCTCACTGTATGAGACAGCTCACACACATAGACTTGAGGTCCAAGTCTCGTTAGTACGCGTGAGGTCCGCGGCGCAACCCACCACAGCACACCACAAGTATTCCTATGAATCAAATCGATCTTCTAACGTAATTTTCAATTATAAACATTAATTATTAAATGATCACATAAAACTAATAATATAATATTTCAGTTTAATCACGTAAAACATATGTATATTCAATATTTATTTACATTCGCCTAGTGCTTAAGGTAGAGATTAGTTTTGTTTTTAATTCTTAAAACTATACAGGCACGAACATTGTTGCGATAGCACCATTATTAAAATACAATAGTTCTCTCTTCAGTACGGTCCTCGTTCAAATCTTTTGTTTAGTCACAATTTCTAATTACTGTTTTATTAATGATAAAAATTTGCATAAAAAATGAGAAACAAATATTTTAGAGAAATAAAAATACATTCAATTAAGGTTTTTTCTTTTATTACCTTTGTAGGCAGCATACGGCCCACCTGATGGTGAGTGGTTACCGTCGCCCATGGACTTCAGCAATGCCAGGAGCAGAGCTAAGCCGTTGCCTACAAAATACGTTACGTTACGTTAAGACGTTACAATACGTTGTTCTCTTTCGTGTTTACAATTAAAATGCTGATTTGTAGACTATGCAGTAACTCAATAACAATTAATACAAAAATTGGAGCACCGTTAAAATTGATATGCGATTTTCAACTCTACGTTAAAGCGGCAACGGTTCGATTTCAATCGAATCAACTCGATTACGTCTCACGCAACTCAGACGATGTTTTAATTGCATCTACGAAATATGTGGGTAGGAGAAAAATAATTTTCTTTCACATTTCAAGTTGTAATAGTTCTCGAATAGTTCACGTCTGTCATCAAACATACATTTAAATATGATTTTGCATATAAACTAATGTTTCATATTTTAGTTATTTATAATTTTGACTCGTATTAAGCATTCGTAAACTTAAACAAAATTACTTTTAGGGTTAAATTTCACGTTTAAGTCGACAGGGACCACGGAAACATTAAAACATTCAAAACTTCGGGAATCATAAATGCGATATTAGTGGTCAATTAGTTTAAATTTCCCCAGTTAAATTATCAACGTTGTTCTAAAACAAACAGTAGCTAACTTGTCTGGGGTAACTTTTCAATTATCTCCGATATGAGGCCCTACAATTTGGGCCTTAGGTCCTTCACTAATGGTTCAGATTACAATTTATTTATATAACATTTACAAATCCAAATGATGATGATTTTGGTAAAAACGTAAATCTATATCTATACTAATATTATAAAGAGGAAAGATTTGTTTGTTTGTTTGTTTCGAATAGGCTCCGAAACTACTGGACCGATTTGAAAAATTCTGTTTCCATTAGAAGCCGACATTGTCCCTTTTTTTAATTTACTTTTTTTATTTTTTGGTTTCATGTGTGTTTTAATGTTTCCGAAGCGAAGCGAGGGCGGGTCGCTAGTAATATATAAATCTACAGTGGTTTTTACGGATGTTCCGTTATAACTACTGAACCGTGCATCCGATTGACTTGAAACTTGGTATCCATGTAGAAAATACATGTACTTAATGGATAGGCTAATATTTATATGAGTGTTGGACTCCCTACACCAGTTGCGGGGAGGTTAATGATGAGATTGTTTGTGGGGGGTGAGAAATAATAATGTTAATTTTAAATGCCCAGCGAAGCGGACGGGTACAGCTAGTATACGTAATAAAATAAAGTATATCCTTGGTGACTTAACCGATAAATTTGTTCTTCAGTACAGAGCCGGTGCGGGCGAAGGCGGCGGCGCCCTAGCTGCCGGCTCGGGCTCCGAGTCGTTGGCGTCGGTGGAGGCGGGCGTGGGGGGCGGAGGCCTGTTGATGGCGCGGTAGTGTCGGTAGGCCCTCCGGCGCGGAGCTCCCCCGCTGGCCGTGGCGGGGCTGGGGGGAGGGTTGGCTGTGGGGCGCGGGTACCTGGACGATATACTGTCCGATGACCTGGGGAAGTTAGTCTTCATGTTATTCAAATATCAAAGGGTACAATCGCTATAAACTTTACAAAAAACTATGTGAACCCATTTATTTTTATTGCCAGTTGCCGAACCCCCTGCTCTTTATATATGGGACCACCAAGATGTTAGAAAAAACCGGCTTAATGGAATATTGCCCAACGGTCCGATCTCCGCCCGAGACACGACCCAAGCTGGTGACTCCGTTAGACACGATGTGTTAGTTGTGCGAGTAGATAAGAGTTTGCAGTTCATGTGGTATCTCGTGGTTATCGAATATAATAACTGTTTCATTTTATATACCGGAATATATATTTGTCATTTAAGTGACAGCTGTGGGCAGAACGGTAGGGATGTAAATTTAAAATATATATCGATGTTTTCTATCTATGTATCTTGTCCTATGTAATGCATTAATCGGTTGCTTCGATGTTTATACGATATATTCAGAAATACATGCATCGATGTTTCTAAAACATAGATTTTTTCGCAATAACATATTTAGGCCTAAAGAAAACTAGGTAAGTATAAGGAAAAATATGTAAAATCAATAAATGATAGGCGTGTTACATTGGCAGCACTGATTATAAAGTTTCGTGAAACGAAACGTCGTGAAGTCACTGCAGTCGTCAGTCAGTGTTGGTCATACTCATAGTACACTCATCTCATCATTTACGTATTTGATGAATCGAATGAAAAACATCGATATCTACTCGATGCTGAAGTATTAGCAATACATCGCGTTTTTAAAATACATCGATGTATATCGTCCATCCCTACAGAACGGTAGTGCCGTGCGGGCTTGAAATATGTTCTGTAAATCTAGCTCAGATGTAGAAGGAAGGAAACATTCGGAGATCATTAAGCAGTGTGTAGTAGTGTGCAGTAGTGACGTGCGTGTACTGACTGCGTGGAGCTGGCGGGCAGCGGCTGCGGCTGCGGCTTGGGGCGGCACAGCGGCAGCGCGTGGTGCGCGGGGTGCGCGGGGGCGCGCGCGCGCCGCCAGCGCCGCAGCAGCACCAGCCCCGCGCCCGCCGCGCCCAGCGCGCCCACCGCGCCCGCAGACACGCCGTACGCGCTCCACTGCCGCCCGCCGCCGCTCGACTGCAATACAAGTTATACTTAAATTCAAACATTCACAGACGTTTCTGAATTAGCTTGTTGTTTTCCAAATAAATTCACATCAAACATAAATATTATTAAACATTAATAAATTAGTACATATATTATAATAAGAATGATTTAAATGAAAGAAACAGGTCTGCACTACCGAGCACCGAACTTCATCAAACTTCAACGGGTTTATTAACATCACTATACTTATTATACGTATATAGTTAAAAGCGTTATATACAGTCTCTGGTTTAAGTGGGGGGCGGGTGTATTCCGTTCACCTGGTCGGTGTGTCCGTAGGCGCAGGCCGCGGGCGCCTCGTCCGAGCCGTCGGCGCACTGCGGCCGCCCGTCGCACACGAACCTCGCCGCGATGCACAGACCTTCGTCGCATCTGTAGTCGTTATAATTGGAGATTTAACAGTGGTAGGGCAAACTGACCGGCTATTTCTGTCGCGATAATCCGTTTCATTTTTAACGACGGAACAGCCAATAATTTATAGCATCGAGTATTAGACCTGATATCTATACTAATATTATAAAGAAGAAAGATTTGTTTGTTTGTTTATATTGAATAGGCTTCGAAGTTACTGAACCGATTTGAAACATTTTTTCACTGTTTGGAAGCTACATTATTCCCGAGTAATATTATATATAATTTTTTTGAAAAAAAATTATAGTATCCTTACTAAAACTCCAATAATGTAACCAGAGGTGTAAAAAAATTACCTAAAATATTCTTTACATCACGTGCCCTGCGAAAACTATTCATGATAGAATAAAATAATGTATTACGACTTTGTAGAACACATTAATATTTACAAATAGTGTCGTGACAGCTATGTCTAACTATTATAGTTATACCGCAATAAGTGTTATTTTATTTAAAAAAATAAAACAACATCAAATATCGTTGAAATTTTTGTTAAAGACCCGAGCGGAGCCGGACCGGGCCGCTTGTCTCAAATAATGTGACGGCACTCACCTCAGTAATGTCTATAGGATTCGGTAACCTCTTAACCCATTTAACAATAAATAAACAAATAATGTGAAGAGTTATGCGTTGTAATCGGGTACAGTGCATTAGTTCGGTTCACCTGAAGGCGTCGGGCGGCGGCGGGTTGGCGCAGAGCGCGCCGGCCGCGCACGCCGACAGTGCGGGCGCGCACGTGCCGTCGGCGCAGCGCACGTCGCCGCCGCACGCGCCGCACTCCGCCTCGTCGCGCCCGTCCTCGCAGTCTTGTTGCCCGTCACATCTGTTTATGAGCAGTGAGTTTACTTAGAGAATTTAAATTTAGAACAGAGCAGGTGGCCGCTAGGACCAAACACTCGAATGACGATCGCGTACAAGGATACACAACGTAAGTAACCCGCTGAAGATCGCGAGGGACTTTTGGATGTGGGCAACGAAAATCCAGCCATTTTGACATAAAATATATTGAGGGAGCCCTGTTCAGCAGTGGGATACAATAACGGTGGTAAGTGACATGGTCGCTACACAAGGGGGTCGCGGGTTCGAATCCCGCCAAGGGAAGATATTTGTATGATAAATATAAATGTCTTTCCCAGGGTTATGGATGTATCTTAAATATATTATTATGTATGTGTATAATAAAAATCTTACATTTATTTCCGTTATCTGGTACCTGTAAGACAAGTTTTTTACGAACTTATCATGGGACCAATTAACGTGGCGTGATTGTTAGTACCAACGTACCAACATTTCGATCCTGAAAGAGCTCAACATCAAGGAGAGACTATCGTCAACAGTCCACATACGAATCCTCAAGTTCTTCGTGCACATCACTCGTAATGAGGACTCTATTGAGCGGTCGGTGGTGCAAGGGAAAGTCGAGGGCAAAAGATCCCGCGGACGATCTCCAACACGATGGACAGACCTCATAAAATCTGTGACTGACTCCAACATAAATGATTGCTCTCACTCTGCGAAACATCGTGCCACATGGCGTCGGATCGCGAGAGCATCGGTATCGCACGATCCGACTGATGCATGACTACGACCACTCTGTCAAGAGTGTACGAATAGGAAGAAGATTGTTAGCAAATATGTATTCATATTAAAAAAAAATTAAAAGAAAAAAAAAACAATGTGTAATAGTGTGATACAAACTTCCATTCGACGGGCAGACACTGCGGGCGGGAGGCGTGCGCGTCGCACAGCAGGTGCGAGGGCGGGCACACGGGCGGCGCCGCGGGACAGCGCACGCCGCAGCCGCACGCGCCGCCCGCGCCGCACGACGCCGCGCCGCCGCACCGCCCGCCGCCCCAGCACGGGTGCGAGCGCTCCACCTACGACACGCACATTATTATTCCTATACACTTTTTATATATATATTGAATGTAAAAGTAATATTATAATAAGCCACAAAACTATAAGATAATTATTTCCTATAATATACATTTAACACTCAACATGCCATAACGGGTCAAATGACCCATTTTGAACTTTTGTATTGAAAATGCACATATCATCTTATTGATTTTGTACATTTGACTTCAAGACATTTTCTTACCAATCAATCTATTGTTATTATCCTTTTTGTTTTGTTTTGTTTGTTACTGTGCTGTACTACTACTACCCGCTATGGTAGAAATAGGTACCGGTAAATGTTGGTATGATTAGTGTTAATATTTTCATAACTCTTTTCTTCTAGTTATTTATTCTATTTTCCAAGTAGAAACAAATATTAATTGAATTGAATGATAAAATGGATAATTAGTTTAAATTTTTTATTAATTATTTTTTTATTAGCCATACAGCCATTCACAACTCATATTTACTTCCTTAGGGGTAAAATTTTGCTTCTTCCGTAGTAGATGCGCACAACCTAAACATCATTAACTGCCTAAATTGCAAACTAGCAAACCTGGCGCTCAAGACATGAACCGATCAGTCTTATCGAGTACAAATATTTTTATTTAGGTTTTTATTATCTGAACGGAGTTCGGTTTTTTTTATTGCTTAGATGGGTGGACGAGCTCACAGCCCATCTGGTGTTAAGTAGTTACTGGCGCCCATAGACATCTAAATGCAGACAACCTTTGAGATATGAGTTGCAAGGTCTCAGTATTGTTACAACAGCTGCCCCACACTTCAAGCCGAAACGCATTACTGTTTCACGGCAGGAACAGGCAGGGTGGTGGCCCTATCGGTGCGGACAAGAGGTCCTACCACCAGTATAAGTTAGTAATATTTGCGGCAAAACTTTATTTAGTTTTAAGTTAAGTTGCAGACGGTAGTGGGTACCTTGTGCACGGCGACGAGGGCGAGCAGACGCACGAGGTGCGGGAGCGGGGTGGCGGGCGCGTCGCGGCGGTGCAGCGGCACCCGCGCCGCCCGCTCCCCCCCGCACACGTACACCCCGCCGCCCTGCGCCGCCAGCGCACCCGCCCAGCCCCCCTGCCACACCACGCGTCTGTGGGCGCAATATGCGATATTATTAATCAAATATTTATCATAAGAAGCCTAGCGTATTCTTGTTACTGGTTCTTGATCATCATAGAGTCCATCATGGTTGGCAACACCTTATTATTATCGGTTACTATTACCATTTTGTCAAATGGTAAATTTCATAGATAAATTTGTGTTTCTCAAGACTACTTCTCTTTTTTTCTCTATCTAAGCTAATAGCCTTGAGAGGCTATGTCAACGTAGCCGGGCGAGTAGGTAAGCTCACGGTGTTCAAACCAGGAGTATTGCTAACACTTGTCCTAGCAAGAGCAGTGCTTCGCAGAATCTAGCGCCGGATCGGAAACGCGACCCACTGAGAAGATCCGGCGAGAAACTCAGTGGGCTGTGTCTGCGGGTTAATTTACTCGTCGAGCCCTTCGTCGCAAGCGACAAGTTCGGCGAGGACGATGACCGGTGCTTGAAGTACCTAAAGGCATCGTTAATAGATTGAGAGGATTTGAAATGACGTGTTTAGAGCGACGTGGATGGTTTACCATTCGGTTCACGGGATCAGGTGTTTTAATTTGTACTTCGGTGGAAGCTTTATTTATCCCGAGCCCCCGTGCGTAACAAACAGCATTATTACACCAGTAAGAGTAACACTATCTATCACCAAATAGTAGAACGAATATCGAAGGATCTAGTAACATCTAGAACGCTCGAGAAGTACAACGTCATCTATTATCAAATATCGGAAACACATATCGAGATAACTCGACTTGTCAGAAATGTTCTCGATAATTTTAAGGATGTCGTATCGACTATAAAACCGTTGCAGGGATGTCACGAATTACGAAGTGTAAAGTGTTCTGTGAGTGTTAAATAGAGTTTTAATTTGTACTTCAGTGGAAGTTTTATTTATGCCGAACCCTGCGCACAACAAACAGTATTATGGGGCACCTGTTGGAGGAGTCGAGGTCGACGGCGTGCAGCTGCCTGCTGACGGCCCAGTAGACGGTGCCGGCGCTCTGGTCCAGCGCCAGCGCGGTCGCGTTGTCGGCGCGCGCCAGCTCCACGCGCCCGGTGCCGTCCACGTTCGCGCGCATTATGGCGCCCCGACCCACGTCGTTCCAGATCAGATAGCTGAACAACAACACGTCATACTTATATATCGTGTAATAAAAATCAGACACGCAAAAATATAATTTTGCTAAATATAAATTGCTGTGAAGCAATAATGCGTTTCGGTTTGAAGGGTGGGGCAGCCAACTGTAATGAAACCTTAGAACTCATATCTCAATCATATCATTACATGCAATTTCTAAAATTAGCCCTTAAACTCGGAGTTTTAATGTCTAATATAGTTTATAGGCACATAGCACATTCACAAATGAAAAAACTCAAAAAGCTTAAAAATGATACTTAGCCCCTTCATCCACTCATGTCTTCATATGTATGTAGACTCGGAGATGTAACGGTTTGATATTTTTTTAATAATTGTACAATAAAATGAAATGCCGTGAAACAATAGGTAATGGTCATTTCGGTTTGTAGGACGAGGCAGCCGTAGTAATAAAATAGACTTAGTAGCACTCATGTTTCAAGGTGGGTGACGACGGCATTTACGTTGTTGATGTAATATGAGCTTCGACGACCACTTTAAGCCAGGTGGGCCATGAGCACGCCCACTCCTTTCATATATGAAAGGAATAACTAATAGCTTAGTTATAACTTGTTGTAAAAAAAATTTTACACATATATGTACACTAAGCAATTACATAATATTATTCAATTTTCAACGAATGAGAATTTAATGAAGTAATCTTTCATTGATATAAGTTAAGGGGAATTCTGCTGTCTAACTTTATACGTAACAACTGTTTTCAAGTATACGCAGTACTATATTTGGTGAGTTCAATTTAATATCAAGAACGTATTATTACGTAGCTTCATCTAACAAGTACTCTAGTCTCTGAGCTGAACGGTCACCAACATTCTGAGGCTCATCGTGAACAGTAAATGCCTCACCCGAGCGCTCTGAACTGAACGGTAACCAATATTCCGTGACTTATCGTGAACCGTTAGAATGGCACGAAATTATAATGAGTTGGCAAGTAGCAACACTGATCTTGATATATTTGACAATAATTTTTATAAATATTGTAAATTAGTTAAAGATATTCTCAAATTATTTATATAAATTATATTAATATTGTCCAGTTAATGATACATAAGATTTAATTTCATCAGATAGTAACTTTCAAGTGTGTGTGTGTGTGTGTGAGAGAGAGAGAGCGTGTGTGTATACATATATACATGGTATTTAGGCATCTGTTCAGTTGTTAAATTTTTTCTGTATGCACTTGTTCTGAATTGCAATCTAGATTGTTATGTTCAACATTTAAACTTATAATTTCTATGGTCATAATTTGTTTTGTGCATCAATAAAAAAAAAAAACAAAAAAAAACCTTAATAACCTCACCGTTTAGTCTGATGGAAGGCCAGGTGCCTGGGCAGCATTCGGTCGCCCCTGACGATGACGCCGGTCGACGAGTTGTTGTCGATGGAGGTCGCGTTGATCGAGTCCCGGTCGGCGCACGTCCAGTACATCGTGCGGCCCAGCACGTCCAGCACCATGTGGTAGGGGCGCGAGAGGCCGGTGACCACGGCGACCGAGTCCGCGACGGCCGACGTGCTCGAGTACGATATGGGCACGCGTCGGATCGAATGCGAATCGTCGTCCATCCAGTACAGTTGCCTGAAAACGTCAGTTTGTATTAGATTGCGCGCTCGCGACGGGCAATGGTTATCAAAACACTATGTAAGTGTTTTTAGTTAGAGCATTACAGTTAAGTGGTTACCGGAGCCTATAGACATCTACAATGTAAATGCCCCGTCCTTCTATTTCTATTTCTGCCGTGAAGCAGTAATGCGTTTCGATTTGAAGGGCGGGGCAGCCCTTGTACTGTTAAAAGTGAGATCTTACAATTCATGTCTCAAGGTGGGTGGGGGGCAGTGGGGGCATTTACATTGTACATATCTATGGGCTCCAGTAACCACTTAAGATCAGGTTGGCCATGAGCTCGTGCACGGATCCAAGCAATTTTTTTTTTTATATGATCTGAATTCCTTCTCTGTATTCTCTATAAGTGTGGGAAATTTCGTGCTACTCCGTCCGCGCAATTATCGTAAAAATGAGTACAATGTTTTTGCTTCACGTATTAATATATAAATTAGTTCAATGATAGACTATAAAAAGTCTTCAAAATCCGTGTCGGATGACGACTCACTTCTCGACCGGGTCATACTCGATGGCGCGGACGTTCTTGAGGCCGGTGAGCGGTATGTAGGCGTCGTTGCACTCTCCGTTCGCGACCATTATCCGGCCGACGGCGTTCTTTTGAGCGAAAAGCAGAAACTCTTCGGGTTCTAGAAATAATGTTACTTGTTTTATAATCATAATAATAACTGGACTTTTTGGCGGGAGCGCGAGGAGTGAAGTTGTATGATTTGTTTTATTTTGTCTATATTTTAGTGCTTCTTCAGGTTTAAGTGTGTAATAACGGTGGTTTATTAACTGTTTAGTATTTGTGAAAGTGATGTGGGAAAATGAAACAAAGCCGCTTCTCGGGATACTCCAAAAGTCCACTGAAAAAATCTCAGTATATGACCACCATTTTACTGAGATTATATTTCACCCCATATCATCTCATCTCGTTTGATTTAATTTCACTCCATATTATTATTTTTTCATAAAAATAAGAATATAAATTAAAATAAAACTTGACTTAAAGGTCTAAGTTACCAGGCCATAAAATCCCTTAAAATAATAATAATAATAACTACGAAAAAATCACGCACGGTCATCCCAAGTTAAAGTTTCCTGTGTTATAGGTACCGGATACTTATAAACATACTTATATATGGTTAAATATATACATATTATATAGATAACAGACATCCAGACGAAGAGCAAACAAACCCGCTCATCACACAATGTTTGCCGGATGTCAAATGAAAAAATTAAAAGTGGCTTGAATATTATTAGCTCCTGCAAATTTTCCTTACAAACGTGTATTTTAAATTGACTTGTAACACTAATGTTTAGTGTTCTATTTTTAGAAGCGAAAAGACCCCTCGGCTGGTCACCAAGCGTTGGTCGGATCAAGTAACTACGGTCCTCGGAGTCTCTGTCATAACCGCCCTGACCACTGGCTGAAAGAGCCACAAAGGCCTTTCAAGGACACGACCTTCGGCAATGAAGTATTATCTGTCAGATCTATCAATGTCAATCTACTCTGACGTTAACGCTGACGATAGGCAAAGGATTCTTCAGAGTCAGGCCACGTGTCGATGGAGTGGAGGAATTACCGGAACACGTGATGTTGTCCTTGTTGAGACGGTAGTGCGCCGGGCACGCGCACCGGTAGTCGGTGCGGACGTCCCCAGGGGTGGGCAGGCACAGGTGCGAGCAACCCCCGTTGTCGACCCCGCATTGGTTGCTGCCCATGGACTTGGCGCGATGGTACAGCTTCAAATCCGATATGTAGTCCAAGTCCTTGCGTATTGATTTTCGATTTGAGCCATCCGTTTTTCTCGCTTGCTGTATTTGGCCTGTGTGAAATTTGATTTGGATATTAAACAACTATGCGTCGTAGTATATGGTATGTCGGCGCAACGTTACTATTGAGTTATCTAAAAATCGTTAAAGTTGTTCTGTTTCTTTAATGTTATATGCGTAAACAACTGTTTAAAACAGTATTTAAAATAATTCATGACTAAGCTACCTCCATTTTGTACTATAAATGCAAGTGACTATTGTCGCACAAAACATTCCGATTCGAGCAGCCGACTGAGGCGGAGCTCTCTGTTTATATCGTTGTACACTTGAAATTGAATTCATTGGAAAAGTGAGTCTTAATTACCGTCATTATGAAAGACAATGATGATGATGAAGAGAATGGCGTCAACAAAGTAATCATTTTAAAGATATCATGGAACCAGCGTCTCCGTCATGTATACGAGTATTACAGTAAATATGTTTTTGTGCTTTTATGCCAAAATTGATTATGTTTCAACAAAATTTTGTAAATTGCATTCTATAAAGATATTATGCATTTTTTAAATGCATCATGAACCAAACGAACTTAAAGCACATCACATGCGGAGTGGTTACTAGAGCCCGTGAATGCCATAGGCATGAATAGAAAGTTCTGATTTCACTGTAAAACTGCTATTCCCTACTCTACTCTTGTTAGCATTCGTGTTAGCAACGTCAGGTTTGAGCCCCGTGAGCTCGCCTACTCGCCCGGTTACGCTGACATAGCCTCTCAAGGCTATCAGATTAGGTAGGAAAAAAAACTACACACTGACCAATAGATGGCGCTGAACTTAATTATCACCTCACCGGTATTCCAATCGCCCCAATACACCGAATCGTTGAACAGGGCCAGAGCGTAGGGCATGGGTATGTTGTCGGCTAAGGTCTGGCGGCCCGTGCCGTTGAGGAACGCGAACTCGACCACGGGAGGGTCGAGGGCCGCCCAGTAGATGGCGCGCCTCTCGTAGTCTATGGCGAGGGCGTGGACGCGCCCGACCTGCTCCATGAACACCGACACCGAGGAGCCGTCCATTGCGGCGCGTTTGATGCTCTTCGAACCCAACTCTGACCAGTACATGTAGCTGAAACAATTTTATATAGCTAGTGGTCCCCCAGTAGTTGTGGGAGTGGGTACAACCATCCCGCCTATTTCTGCCGTGAAGCAGTAATGCGCTTCGGTTTGAAGAGTGGGGCAGCCGGTGTAACTATACTTGAGACCTTAGAACTTATACCTGAAGGTGGGTGGCACATTTACGTTGTAGATGTCTATGGGCTCCAGTAACCACTCAACACCAGGTGGGCTGTGAGCTCGTCCAACCATCCAAACAATGGTTGAACAAAAGGTTGAAATTCGACAATAATTAATTGGAATTATAATACTATGGTTATAATGTCAAAGATTATAATAATTCTTTAATAACAGATTTCGCCATCACTATACTATAGACAAATAATATTAATAATATTAATTAAAAAAAAATAAGACAAACAATATTAATCTATTCTCAATTTGACCAGACTTTAAACAATAACAAAAGTTTGACAATAAACAAAGAGTATGTTTTTTTTTTGACAATGTTTTTTTTGGTGATTTTAAAAATATTAACATTCTGCACTCCTTCTCTATATTCTCTAAAGTGTGGGAAATTTCATAATCTTCCGTCAGCGCAATTTTCATAAAAAGGGGTACAAATTTTGCTTAACGTTATTTTAGCACTCATTTACGCGAGGAGCGAAGTTGAGCGAATTGTTCCACTATTTTGATTTAGCTTCAAGTTTAAATGTGGATAGCAGTGGTTTATTAACTGTTTAACACTTGCGGAAGTGGACGAGTTGAAAAAATGTAACAAAGCTCCAGCAGCTTAGCTTACATAGCTTCAAAAACATCGAAAAACTATAGTGTAAAGTTTTAAGTAAATAACAAACATTTTACTGAGACTGTATTTCATTAAATTTTTTCCCAGTTGATTAGTCTCATATTCATTTTTCATATATAGCAGAATATAAAAAAATATTAGACTCGGCTTAAAAGTCTCATTACCAGGCCATAAAATATTTAAAAAAAGCTCAAAGCCATCCTATAAATAAATCGTTACGATTAATGTTCTTAATGTTATACGATTTATAACGATCACGAATTTTTGTGTTCTGTTTAGTGTTTCAAATGGATGACCGTGTTTGGTATACTATTGAGATTACGGCATCGGCGGCGCATCCACTTCGTAGTGTCTATGGTCTCCTATAATAATTATAGTATGATAATGCTCGTGGTAAAAATCACAAACTGAAAAAAAAAGGTCCAAGATATCGTTTCATTGCTTCCGTTGGAAAGACAATTACAACTTTAGTGATTTCCCACCATTTAGTAATTACAGTATTTTTTTGCATCATTTCAGTTTTTCGGTTTGAAGGTCACTCACTCACTTATCACTAAACATATATTGATACGATAAATTTGGCTGAATGGGCTATGACCCTTTTGCCTATCCAAGTAGACGAACAAAACAAAGTTTTCGCCAGAATACATGAAAATCTTACCCTTTCTTAGGATCGAGCACTAAGCTCTTTGGTTTCTTCAAGCCCTGCCATATAATGGCCCTTCGACTAGAGCCGTCGAGCCTGGATACCTCGATGCGCTGCGTTGTCGTGTCGGTCCAGTAAATGTTCTGTCCCGACCAATCTATCGCTAAGCCTGAGAAATGAATTTTGAGTAGTAATATATCTAAACTTCCTTTTGACTTTTCTCATGGTGGTTTTCTTGGGAAAAATAGTAACGGTAGCTTCCCATTCCTTTCCGTCCCAGAACTTTTTAGAGGGGATTTAGCCCCCTAGGCCACAAACACCAGCGTCCCGGGCGCCATTAAGCAGGCCGAATGCAGGCAGCATTGGAGGAAGCTGGTGCAAAAACTGGACCAAAGTGGTCACGACCCTCAGCAATGAGGAAACGACAGAGAAGAAGAAGAAGAATATATCAGTTTATTAACACACCAGCCGTCTTTTTATTAATTGCAGAAATGGGTGGACGAGCTCACAGCCCACCTGGTGTTAAGTGGTTACCGGAGCCCATAGACATCTACAACGTGAATGCGTTGAAATATTAGTTCTAAGGTTTCAGTATAGTTACAACGGCTGCCTCACCCTTCAAACCGAAACGCATTACTGCTTCACCGCACCAATAGGCAGGGCGGTGGTACCTACACGTGCGGACTCACAAGAGGTCCTACCATCAGCAATTACGCAAATTAAAATTTTGCGGGTTTGATTTTTATTACACGATGTTACTCCTTCACCGTGGACGTCAATCGTGAACATTTCTTAAGTACGTATTTCATTAGAAAAATCGGTACCCGCCAGCGGGATTCGAACATAGTTGCATCGCTAAATCTATCCTTCTATCCTTATCTATCCTTTAGGCCACAACGACTTTCTGAGGAGTCGTCACTTGTCAAAAGCCATTACTTTAATCAGATACTGAAGAATTGTATAGAGATGATCCGTCATTCCTTCATACGCCCTACCACCTATCACTGATAATTCTTAATCAGTTTACAAACAGCATTCAGTGATGTTTCACCGACATGGAAATTGACCTTTTACTTTTGGTGATTACATATTAGTGATTGAATGAATAAAACACATACCTTCAACGAGTCCCAGCCACTCCACGATCTTCTCCACGGCGGAACCGTTAACGGAGCACCGGTTTATTGTTTTGGTCTTACTGTCCGACCAGTACAGCTTTGAGCCTGACACGTACAGAGCTAAAGCGCTGTAACAAAACCAGTTCTATGGTTAGTTCACACCTCGTGGCTCCGGTCCGGTGTAACCATTTAACACCAGGGGGGCTGTGAGCTCGTCTACCCATCTAAGCAATAAAAAAAAATCCAATGCGGCTGCAACCACAGGGACCGTTTGGTCATCTATATATTAATACGTGAAGCAAAAACTTTGTATCCCTTTTTACGAAAATTGTGCGGACGGAGGAGTATGAAATTTTCCACACTTATAGAGAATATAGAGAAGAAGTGCACAATGCTAATATATTTTTTTAAAATAATGCATAAAAGATACATTAAATCAATATAGAAAACATTACACACACTACATACCATGTATTTGACGCACACACGCATGCATATTATTTATTGTCAAACTTTTGTTCTTGACGTCAGTTGTCAAATTGAGATTAAATATTGTTTGTCTTTGTTATGATTTTTTATAGTGTAGTCTTGGCGAAATTAGTGATTATAGAAGTATAAAATACAATCATAATAGTGTACAAGCTTACAATTCCAATTAATTATAGTCGAATTTCGACTACTGCGGGACCTCTTGTTACTATAAATAGGAGTACTAGTTAATTTCGTTTTATTCCTCAGGTTAGAGCCCCGTTAGCTCACCTACTCGTTCTGCGAATCTAGTATAACCTCTCTAGGTTACTAGAATAGGTAGGATTTTTTTTTTGTGTTTTGTACCGACCTGACTTCCTTCAAATCTTTAATAGGTATCACAGCGTCATTGTACTCGTTCTTGATGCTCAGGCGACCGATGATGTTCTTCCGGCTGTAAACTAAGAACGCTTCTGGCTCGACGCACGTTTTTTTGTCGGCAGTTAGTTCTAGACCTGGAAATATTTCGTTTCTGATTATAGTTACAAAATGTCGTCGATTCGTTGACGAAGTTCAGTTAGTATTTCTTAAACTTTCACACTTATACCGCGTTTAACGACTTTATATGCTTTTATAGACCTCCCGACTTTCTTCCCGAGTCGACAGTAATATTTATTTATATTGATGGACAGTATTGATAATATTTTATTTATATATATTTTTATATGTATATATTTATATGTACGAGTATTTTTATCTATACATATTATGTATGTTATATATACACATATGTTTAAGTAATATCACTACAACACTACACCTACCAAGGTTCATCTCTGCACCTCCCTAAGGTCAGAGAATACCTATGGCAATAAGTCCGCCTTTATACCGTCTAGTATATAAAGTCATAAATAAATAAAATAAAAGACAGTTCCGACAATTATTACAAAATACACGTGTCTACCAATGGCGTTGTGGATGTCTGTCAGTTTTATTTTTAAGTGTCATACCTAAAGGACATCCGCATATGTAGTCATCGGGTCTGTTGAAGCAAAGGTGTGAGCATCCTCCGTTGTCATCGGCGCAAGGATTCCAGCCAAGTGGCGCCCCCAAACGGAACGCCTTGACACCCATCATGTTGGCCATTTGTTCTACCACCGGCTGTCTGTCTAAACCTAGAAAAAAAACCGAATTAAGATTTTGAAAAAAATATGATAAGGATAAATTATTTTGTATTGCCTATAGTATTGACTTCACAAGTCAAAATAAGTGTGTGAAAATTAGAAACAACCATTTATAATACATGTATACCATATGCATAAACTTTGCAAAACTTTTTAACTTTACAAATTTTATTTAGGCTTTGTCTTTCTCTTCCTTTGTCTCTCTTTAAAAATATAATTAAGTGTGTGTTTGTGTAAAACCTAAGGAAACGACTAAAGCTATGGACATAGTCTGTGAACGCTTTATGTATTCATGTGGAAATACACATGTCACCTAAATCAAATAAGGAAGATATTAGGCCTTTTTTGGCAATTAAAAACCATTTTAGTTTTTATTCTCTTAAATATTTTATTTTTAATGAATATTCACACCCGATAATAAAATTAGTTTAAAATAATTTCACAATTACCTGTATTTTTATTGATCCTGTCGAGCGTGCGTTTCTGCATGTCGGTCCAGTACAAGTAGTCGTCAAGTAAAGTGAGTCCAAATATATGTATGATGTCGTTGCTGTGTAACTCCTTCCTCTCCGTCCCGTCCATGTTGCATACCTGAAGATCATTTTGATGAAGTACAGTGTTGCCCAAAGTTTTCCGAACTGGTTAAATTTTTTTTTCTTTAATTAACTTGCACTTTTCGGATGCTTCCAATAACTCTGTTCGGAACGTTGTCGCTATGGCAGCTTTCAAGGGAGAATTTTGAGAACCAGTTTCTCTGATCCAGCACATAAAACCGAACAAGACAGACCAAGATATTCATAATGTGCCCAAAATTAATAATAAAATAAAATATTAGATAGTAAGCTGCCATCTACAGGAGAAATTAGAAACTAATTACAAGCCATCTAGTGGCCGACGCCCGTAAATAGAATGTGTATAAAAGAAAGGACCTAGCTCGCTTTCTCTCTCTCTCTCCGAGGTCGAGTAGTTCGCGAGACGCTCTGTCTATTTTCTCACTCTCGCGCGTTCTAAATTGTATTTTTTCTCTAGTCGCAACGAATCTGTCACCAGTTAAATTTTACTCCCAAGTCGCCTAAAGAATGTCAGCATAACTATGTGTTTTAAACTTCGGACTATTGAAACCACGATATATTTATTCTAATTAAAGGTAAAGAACAATTTTAAATATTTCTGAGCATACCTATTTTTAAATACGAATGCATTAATGTTAGAGATGAGACGCTCGGGAAAGCGACACTAATTCTTTTGAACAGAGCAACTATACAAATTTATTTTCCTAACTAATAAAGTAGGAAATCTATACTAATATTATAAAGAGGAAAGATTTGTTTGTTTGTTTGTATTGAATAGGCTCCGAAACTACTGAACCGATTTGAAAAATTCTTTCACTGTTTGGATGCCACACTATCCCCGAGTGACATAGGCTATATTATTTTTTAGCAAAAATTAGGGATATTTACTAAAACTCCAATAATGTAACTCAAGGTGTAAAAAAATTACCTGAATTTTTTGTTAAATATCCAAGCGAAGCCGGAGCGGGCCGCTAGTAAATAAATAATTATGTGGTGTCTGCGGATCATCAATTTGTGCTTATTGAAATATAAAATATTTTTCACACAAACCTCAATCTTGTGCGTCCTTGCATCGCCCCAATAGAGTTTATTATTAACTGTGTCTAGGGCGATGCTATTAGGCCAGGTCAACTTCTCGGAGATGAGCAAGACTCTGCCGCTGCCGTCTAAATTGGCTCGTTCTATCTTCGGTTTCTTTTCGTTCCAATCTGACCAGAACATCCAGCCGGCCGTCAGGTGCAACGCGATCGCACGCGGATCGTACAGTTCCGTGTGGATTATGACCTTGAAAGTATTATTAATTAATTAATAATATTATAAAGCGGAAATATTTGTTTGTTTGTTTGTATTGAATATGCTCCGAAACTACTGAACCGATTTGAAAAATTCTTTTACTGCTTGGAAGCTACACTATTCCCGAGTGACATATGTTATAATCTTTTTTGAAAAATATTAGGGATCCTTACTAAAACTTCAATAATGTAACCAAAGGTGTAAAAAAATTACCTAAAATATTCTTTAGATCGTGTGCCCTGCGAAAACTACTTATAATAGAGTAAAATAATGTACAACGACTTTGTAGAACACATTATTATTTACAAAAAGTGTCGCGACAGCATAATAATATGTCTAACTATTGTAGTAATCCGGAAAAAGTGGTCTTTTATTTTAAAAAATAAAACAATGTCAAAAATCATTGAAATTTTTGTTAAAGATCCGAGCGAAGCCGGAGTGAGCCGCTAGTTGTAAATCATAATGAATGAATAAATGAAAATTCTTTATTGCACAAAATATTGTACAAAGGCGAACTTAACCCCATACAGGCATTCTCTTTCAGTTTACCCTCGTTGATGAAGTGAAAGATTCAAGAACTGCGTAGCTGTGATGAAGTTAATACATGGCGATAATTTAAAGAATTACAGTAGACATTAGTAAAATGAACACTAGATGATAAATTACATTGCCAAAACAAATACATAGATACATACATACAAAAACATACAAAGATACATAGAGATATGTACATAAACCACAAAACACTACAAAACAATCAAGCTATCTGTGTTTTGAAAAAGAGATCATGTACTTTCGCTTTCAAAATATCAACTGAACGTGCTTCACGAAAAGACGATTAATAGTAAATTATTATAATAGAATGTGTCTTGACGCGTGCACGTATAACGTATTCAATAAGTAAATAACACATATAAATCGGTAACCATTTAAAATTATTTTGTTATTAATTTAGCATTGATTTTTGTATTTTTTTAAGTTAAGTTTTTTATAAGGCACTTATTTTTTAATACTCCTTGGGCAATTTCTGCAAACATAATATGAAAATAAGCTCACCACTAAAAGGGTTGAAAACAGACGTTGACTTAATTTAATTTCGTTTTCTTAACTCCGGTATGATAGTCAATAGCTTTTATTTTTATTGCCTAGGTGGGTGGACGAGCTCATAGCCCACCTGGTATTAAGTGGTTATTGAGAGCCCATAGACATCTACAATTTAAATGCGCCGCTCACCTTGAGATATCAGTTCTAAGGTCTCAGTATAGTTACAACGGCTGCCCCACCCTTCAAACCGAAACGCATTACTGCTTCACGGCAGAAATAGACAGGGTGGTGGTACNTTTTATTTTTATTGCCTAGGTGGGTGGACGAGCTCATAGCCCACCTGGTATTAAGTGGTTATTGAGAGCCCATAGACATCTACAATTTAAATGCGCCGCTCACCTTGAGATATCAGTTCTAAGGTCTCAGTATAGTTACAACGGCTGCCCCACCCTTCAAACCGAAACGCATTACTGCTTCACGGCAGAAATAGACAGGGTGGTGGTACCTACCGGTAAATAGCTGTCTTACTGCCCCTCTTGCCCTCTTACGGCCCTCTTACGTCCCCAGTTTAATATCTCACCTTTTCGTAGCTGCCGTCGAGTCTGGCCACATTGATCGTGTCCATGACCGGGTCGGTCCAGTAAATCTTCCTGGACAAAGGATCGATGGCTATGCTGTCCGGCACCCCGCTGCTGCGCACCACGACGGACTGGTCGCTCCCGTCGAGGCGAGCTTTCGATATCGTTTTCGCCTGAAATTAAGACAGTTGGATTTGTTTATTAGTTACGGTTATCTGTACTGTGGCCGATAGGAAAATGTGCACAGAAAATGTGATTGTCCTACAGATCAGGTGCCACCACCCCGCCTATTTTTGCCGTGAAGCAGTAATGCGTTTCGATTTGAAGGGCGGGGCAGTAGTTGTAACTATACTGAAAACTTAAAACTCATATCTCAAGGTGGGTGGCGGCATTTACGTTGTAGATCTTGGATTGCCAATAACTGTACTAAAAATTGCTTTTTTTTATATATCGCATCTTTAGAATTGAAGTGGTTTAACTAAAACTTTTAACAAAATTAGTTTTGTGCTTCGAACGAGTTGTAAACATGTATTGTATTAGTTTATAAAATTCTCTTCTCTTTTAGTCCAGCAAGAGGACAAACTTATTTTTTCCCTACCTTTCAAATTACAGTATTAAAATAAATAAAAACTAAGAAATTACAATTCCTCAATTGCGTTTTTAGCGTTTACCATAAAACAAGAACTTTGGATTAAATCACTTCAATTCTAAAGTTGCGACTTATTAAAAAAAAAAGGATTTTTTTGTACAGTTGTTGGCAATCCAAGGCAGTATGTCTTGGTACAATCCACGTGCGATAGGTGGCCCGCGAATAGTTTCGGTTTTCTTCACAATTCTAAAGGTTCTAATATATAGATATTATCTAAAAAAAATCCGATATCTAAAACAAATTCTGCATATTTATGCGAATGTAACATAGTGCATACCAAACCATCAGCCCAGTAAATATATTCCGTTTTAGGATCGAAGTCAACAGTCAAGGTCCGTTTCAAATCCTTCAAGGGCAACGTATATGGAGTGAAATCTGGCGAGTCCAGCGATATCTTGGATATCGTGGAGCGCTGGGCGACCACCAGCAGCATCTGGGGGCTGTCGTAACAGGTAGTGCTGCTATTTTCCCTCAGCTTCACGCCCGTTGGGCACGCGCAATTGTAACCTGAAATAATACTACTTTATTAAAATGTACTATTGTGACTATTACCATTAGAGTGGAGATAAAAGCGACATATGCAACTTTAGTTCTTTAAAGTCTAATCTTCTATGAAATGTTAGGAACTAACAAACAACAAGCATAAGTCAAAATCTTTATGAGAAATCTTTTTTCCGGAAAATTAAAGCATGTTTGTTCAAAACACGTGAAGCAGTGAGTCCTTCAGTAGCTCATAATGTTTATCATAAGACTCGTATGATAAGCATCATAAAATCACCGAGGATTTTTTTATTTTTTTTATTGCCTATGTATGTGGACGTGCTCACAGCCCACCTGTTGTTAAGTGGTTACTGGAACCCATAGACATCTATAACGTAAATGCGCCACACACCTTGAGATATAAGTTCTAAGGTCTCAGTATAGTTACTTGTGAATTTCATCTGCCAGACCTGACATAATTCTCGTTTCTTAGAAAATCGAACTTATACTACTACATAGTTAGGCTTACTGTCACTTAGGAAACAAACACACCTAAATACCACGCATTAAAAAAAAAACCATGAACTTACGAACGAGCTAACCAAAAAACTAACCATGCATCTAGTGTGGTTAGTTTATATGGTGTCAAAGCGGGATCGAGAGGTATACTAGCGAAATCTCTCTATAACCTACTAAAAGACTTAGGCTTGTCGAGAAGATCCATAAACTCCTTACATGAGCATACGTCCAAAGCTAAGAGGTTCACATCAAAATTGTCTGGACAGGGTGAGCAATACAGAGAACAAAGGTGAGCATAATGAGCATTGATTGTTGTTTAGTTAGGCCCCTTAGTTTATTAAGTCATCTTACCTGGGGGATCGGGTGATAAAAGGCACAAGTGTGAACAACCAGCATTATTCGTTTTACACGGATAATCTTCAGCCGATATAATTTGTCTACTTTCATCATACACTTTGATGTCTGCAGGAACGGGATGCGATTTTATCAACTCCTTTATTTTAGGACCGTTAGCTGCTATATCCCAAGTATAAATAGACCTAAAAACAGCAATAAATAAGTAGCAGTAATACACTCAATTATATAGTATTACCGTAATAAATAATGTTTCAATAGAATTTTTGTGGATAACTAATCCTGCTTGTAATTTAAGGGGGATCCCTCAGGAAAATCGACAGTGAAACGAAGTTAAGGTGTGTGCACACAGCGGAAGCTCGCTGAAAACTTGTGGCAGTTAAACAAGTAAAATTGATGGGCTGTGCAATGGCAGGAGAGTTTTCATATATCCCTTGTTTTATGCCAGTTCAAACACTTGTAATTATGACCCAATGCTACAAATAGAGATGTTTCTTATTGTTGTTGATTGTTTAGTTTTTTTACATAAAAAAAAGCATCCCTAATTTTCAAGATAGCTAAAGAAAGGATAACAGTAACAAAAAAAGATACACTAACAACAAACTTACCAATTTTGCCAATCGGTCCAATACAATTTATCGTTAGAAAAAGTCAAAGCAAAAGGATAAACCAATCCACCCTTGACAACCCTTTTACGTTTTTCGCCATTAAAATCTATGACGTCTACAAATTGGAGTTTGGCATCGACCCAATATATTAGGCTATTGTTGTAATCCACTGTTATTCCATTGGGCCAGAATATGTTGTCTCTGACTATAACTTTGCGCGTGGCTGGATCACCATTCATACCCGCCCTTTCTATTTTTGGTATTTCACCCCAATCAGTCCAGAACATTAATCTGAAACATTTATTCACATATTATATTCGATTTGTGAAGTTTAGCATTCGTTTTGTTTATTGATAGTCTTTGAATTTATTGGCTTTGCTGGGGAGGTTTCTAACAAACTACCATCAAGACACAATGGACAAGCCCCATGTCGGCTCAATGCTTATCAATGTGTGTGTATTTCATGCATTTGGTAAAACTATAGTATAAATAGCTGACCCGGCAGACTTCGTAGTGTCTCAATCAATAAATAAAAGACCTAAAATTTTATATAAAATAAACTTTAAGCAAACAAAAGGAATCCGTCTAATTCCGAGCTTTCATATTTATCTACCTTTTAAACTTTCTCTGGACTTCCACAACTAATTCAAGACCAAAATTAGCCAAATCAGTCTAGCCGTTCTCGAGTTTTAGCGAGACTAAAGAACAGCGATTCATTTTTATATATATAGAAGAAGAAGATAGATAGATATATAGATTACTATGCTAACTACAATCACCATACTATGTTGATACAAAAGATAAGATTAACTATAGATATATGAACAGTAAAGGGCTCCGGTAACTTAACTGTGGGCTAGCCATTAACTAGTTGATCAAATAAGATGAACCATATTTACCTATGAAATCACAGGAAAACTCTGATAAACAATATATTTTATCTTAGTATGAGATAATTCCTGAGCTCCGAATGACACAGTAATTTATAATAGCAATAATATAAGTTACAATAAGGTCCAATTTTATCAGAAGTTTATTCTTTATAATTGCAGTTATCAATTGCAATGGTAAACATTAACACACATTAGGATTTTCCCAAATTATGAAATGTTGTGACTGTACTAATGACAATAACCTTATTTATGTTTATACCTATATCTTTGTATACATGTTTGATTAAGCTCTCTTCTTGAAACTAATATTATATTCAGAGGTGAAAGATATTTAAAAATTATATATTTCCTATATATTGTTCTTTTTACTATTCCTGAAGTTGGTACTTTTATAGTTACCATTTACATATGTATTTACTATGTATACTAATACTAAAAAATGTAATTGAACTCATGTCTTTTATGCAGAATATCAAAATGAAATGTAGCAATATCTCACCCATCCTCTGGAACAACAGCGATAGCTCGAGCCAAATCAACCTCAGACCAAAATAGAACCTTCCTATATTTTTGTACTATACTAATAACTTCGATTTTGTTTGTTTCTCCATCTGTCCAGTACAACTTGTCTGTGTACCAATCTATAGCTATACCAGTTGGAGTCACTAGGCCTTCTGATACTATTTTAAACTAAAAAAAAGAAGTAAAGTTTTTCCATTACTGTCAATATTGTGTACTCATTATGAACAAAATATTTTATTACTTAAATAATAATTTTCAAGTTTTTATTGCCCTTTTAGGCAAACAAGCGTATGGTCCACCTGATGGTGAGTGGTTACCGTCACTCACGGACTTCAGCAATGCCAGGGGCAGAGCCAAGCCACTGCCTGTATTTTTGTTGAGGATGCATTCTGATTCACAGGAATACATATACTATTATTATACATAAATTGTTTGAAATGAAGGATACTCCCACAACAATCACAGAAATAGTCAATAACTTGTCTATGTAGAAAAAACCATTCTCTTTGTTTTTTGTCACGTTTTTTATTTATTTTTTATTAGTTATTGATTTAGGTCTTCCTTTTTTTCAATGAACAAAAGAGAACATACAATGCCATTAAAAATGTATTTAAATGTCAGTAATAATGGTGGAATTTAAATAGTTTGACAAACATTCGGTGAATTGAACAGTTTAGTAAATATTTGCTATCTACATATCATCTGCCCTGCATTACTATTTTCTATTATAGAAAATCTATACAAATTGAAGTGACCTCACCTTTTCACCTGTATAAGTTTCATTATAATTCATACACTGTATAAGTTCGGGCTTCTGATCAGACCAGCATATTAAATTCTTTCTATAATGGAAGTCAACCGCTGTGCCTTGCTCCAAGTCCTTAGCGATTGTAGTGATTCTAGTTAATCTCGATGTATTTACCATACGTATATCTAAAGCAGTCGAATAAAGGAGTATAGGATTGCTAGGTGTGGTATGGTGACCTGAAAAATATTAATGCACATTTTTGTCGGTGACCATTGTATTTGGGTATTTATTTGTTATATCTTATTTTGTTGTGCAATAAAGCTGACTTTTTGAAACTCCGTGAACTTAAAATTATGTATGCAGAGTAAAATTATTTTGACCGATTAATTTTTTAGGATTAATGTTTTTTTTAATAAGTAAAACATTTGATATTTGTGCCAATACTAACCTTTCAACTGTAAAAACATCAACAAACAAAACACATGAACGACTTTCTGAATGATTTTGTCCGCGTAAAGTATTCTCCGACGCTTTGTCATATTGAAAACAAATGAAAATCAACGAATAAATAACGATAATTTATTGTTTATTTTTTTAAACACAACTAATGTCACAATCACAAATATTAACGTTGTACTAAGGCACTATGGTGAATGTATTAACTTCATTTTGTAAAAGTTTCGTCGTCCTGAAATAGACGAAATTCTTTTATTCACATGTTTCTAAGAATTCTGGAGTTCTTCAACTATTTTACGAAAATAAATGCCGATAGGTAGGTAGGTATTATGAGTTCGTTTCGTTCCACAGAGAACTCAAATTACACAGACTATACACAAATTTTGGCAATCAAATTTTAGGCTGCTGCATATTGCATGCTATAACCAAGATTCAATGGCCTAAAGTTTGTAAAATAGCAAAAAATTGCAGATGCTTGTTAGAATAATAGTTTTCTTTTCCGGCAATCAATAAATGAGAATAGGTACCCCTATTCCCACTTAGCTTCGGTACCTCTTTTTAGGTTTCAACTTCTTAGATGTACCGCTGCAAACTTCTAATATAGTATAGGTGGTAGAAGGTGGCAGCCGATATTTCGAACAGTGGTGGATCGTGACCTCGTCTACCTATCTTAGCAATAAAGAAAATATCATGACATTTCCAATTGCACCTAGCTCTTCCAGGCCTTCGGAACTGGCAATAAGATTAAATACACTTTAACCTCGCTTTAGTTTACTATAGGTACTATAATATTAGGGGTTAAAGTATTAAATTGCCGATTTATACCTACTGAACAATTTAAATTCGTTTTTTATTTTTATTTATCATAATATTTATTTAATCAATATATCTGTCATTATTAAGTATACATTGCTGCCATCTAATAGGAAGGTCATTCATGTTTTTGCGACAGAACTCTGGTGATCTAGATTCTACAAGCTGTGTGAAAGCATTTGGTACTGCCTCCTGGGAAGAAAACTTTTTTTATTATTATACCGTAGAAAATTGTTCAAATCACGAAAAAAATTGTAGTCTGTTGGAGCAAGGTCGGCAATTGTTCGGAGTTCAGCACATTATACATCTGCCGTTATTGCTTGACCAGGTCGGAGAAAGCTATAGTGAATCATGCAGAGACCACCAAACAGTTGCCATTACCTTTTTATTGGTAAGCTTTGCTTTATGAAACTGTTGCGGCGTTTGACATGGGGTCAGCCATTGCATTTTTCGCTTATGAAAAAATCCACTTTTCATCACATGTCACAATTCGATCTAATATTCCTTCATTTCTGTATCGATTCAACAAGGCAACACAAGTTTCAACACGCGTTTCTTTCTGCAGATCAGTCAAATCATGAGGCGCCCATTTTTCGTATTTATTTTATTTTATTGATTCAACGCAAATGAGTCAATATTCTAAGGTAACGTTAAGCCATGCCGCTAATTCCTGGGTAGCTTGGCACGGATCGGCTTCCATCATCTCTTTCAATTCATTGATAATCACACGTGTGGACGGTCTTCCACGTGATTCGTTCTTCAAATCAAAATTTCCATCACGAAAGCGTTTAAACCAAAATCGCACGGTGCGTTCATTAGTAGTCCCCTCTCCAAAGGCAACATTGATATTGCGAGATGTTTCTGCAGCGTTAGTTCCGCGTCGGAACTCGTATCTAAAAATCACTCGAAGTTTCGAAGTATCCATCTTTCTTGTATAAGCTGAATAAAAAAAAACAACTGAAAGTCGATAATTGAATGTTGCACATTTTTTAAAAGAAGAACCTTATAGGTACCATCTGAAAAAAGTTTCACTCAAAAATCTCAAACCATGAAGGTTCTATGTCAATTCGAAGTACCTATTATGATAAAACGGCAATTTAACCCCTATTATTAATAAATACATAGGTATCTGAATAAAAAGAATGAGTGCCATTGGTAAATGTAGTCAGACAATTTAATTATTATAATCCTTAATATCAGAGGTTTGACTTCACATAAGTATGTTATGTACGTTATTTTAGAATATATAACAGTTTTTTGAGAAAATAATTCGTAAATAAATGATGCATCATAAAAGAATGAAGATTTTTAATTTATGTGCTCTAAAATTACTTAATATAAAGCTCTAACTAGAAAACAGTACAAAATTCAACTGCACAAATTGGCTGGCAACACTGTGTTATTAGTACCGTGAAACTCCGTTTGTTTCGATTTGGCTGGATGCAAAATAGACTACATTACTTACAATAATAACTAAATAATCACCGCAAAACAACGTGGTCGCCATTCGAACCTGATGTGTGATTTTGAGCCAATGCTGGCCTTGCTTGACGCTGGATCGAATGTTGGTCTGGGGACAACAACAAAAGCCAGACATTTCACTGAGCTAGTACTTTTGATCGGTACACTGACAGTCCAAATTTTTTTCGTTACTTGTTTATATGTAAAGTTATCTTGAAAATTTCGTTCGCGCGATTTAGCTTTATGACGTATTTCTTATATTCTTTAACCTTTTTTTATTGCTTAGATGGGTGGACGAGCTCACAGTCCACCTGGTGTTAAGTGGTTACTGGAGCCCATAGACATCTACAACGTAAATGCGCTACCCACCTTATAATTTAACGGCCGTCTTGTGTAGTGGTAAGTGACATGGTCACTACACAAGGGGGTTGCGGGTTCGAATCCCGCCAAGGGAAGATATTTGTATGATAAATATAAATGTCTTTTCCAGGGTTATGAATGTATATTAAATATATGTATGTGTATAATAAAAATCTTACATTTATTTCCGTTATCTGGTACCTGTAACAAAGTTCTTTACGAACTTATCACGGGACCAGTTAACGTGGCGTGATTGTTAGTAAAATATTTATTTATTAAAAAATATATATATTCTAAGGTCTCAAGAAACGTATTACTGCTTCACAGCAGAAATAGGCGGGGTGTTGGTGCGGACTCACAAGAGGTTCTACCACCAGTAAAAAACATACCGTGACAAATTTCTTAACTTTGATAATATGGACAAATACGTATTATAACTTAATATTGCAGATGTCAAAATAATATTCAAACTAGGTACATAGAATTACAATCAAATCGATATATTTTAATGGCTATAATATTATTTCGGCCAAGGATCCTCTCTAACAGCTTCCTTATTCCCTGGAAAATGTAGGCATTATTACAAGATATGTGGTAGTTATATACGTACCTACATATGTTATCATATAGTTAGCTTTCACTAAGTTTAGGTTATCTTAAGAATTCTGGGAAGCCAGTGCTCTCATCGTACCTTAACGAGTTTGTTTGGAACTTAAAGTAGAACTTATCGAGTTAAGTGCACAACAAAGTAGTTATAAGCTTGGAGCCTTTTTTCAACTTTTCCATGCAGTGAATACGCTCCGTAGATAACTTCACAATAATATTTTGATTTAAAGTATTCTGATATTTTCACAAGCACCATGATTAATAATAGGGTAGCCTACAAGGGTTCTTGAATCTGATTTTAGAAAAATAAACTTTTTTTAATCAAATAGAGTTTAACTCGTAATATTATTTTGATTAGATACTTACATTAAATAGCATAATATTACGTTGAGTATAAAAAAAATACCTTTACGAAATAATCGAGTTACCAAAACTAGAAAAATCGTTCGTGACCAAAAAAAATTACATTTAATACTAAAAAACTTAATGGAATCTTAGAGTTAGAATTCGGAAGCATTTCTGTAACAAAGCTGACATTATTGTTTCCTTAATCTTAATTATCTTGATGGTCTTAAATTATTTGTGACATAAAGTATGCATCCTTAAATTTATTATATTTAATTTAAATAAACATGAATTGTTATGAATAGAAAAAGCTGATTTTCCCAATATTGAATTGTAGCTCTTAATTCCGGGCGTAGGTACTTTATTGTAACTTTAAATAGATAAAATCACAATAAATCGTAAGTTAGGTCCTCTAAATCTTAATTATTCAACAAATCGTTGCGTGACAAAGCTACAATTCATAAAATGCAGGAAAAAAGTAAATAAGGAGAATTATCAAAAACTGATGAACTCGTTCTTATCACTAATTTTCACATTTAATGAGTTCCCGATATTTCGATACAGTTACAAGCGCCATCATCACGGGTACACTGAAGGCTGCGTAGGATGCTAGAAGCTGACAAATTTATTTACCCTCCTTTTATTCCGTTTATTTAATGTTAAAATGAAAATGAGGTTGGTAAGAGAATAATATATTATAGAGGTAGACCTAAGAAGAAATGGATGGAATGCGTGAAAGACGATATAGGTAAGAGGGGAATGAGCGAAGAAATGGTATATGATAGGAGAGTATGGAAGGAGAAAATATGTTGCGTCGACCCCAGGTAGCTGGGAGAAGGGCAGCATAATGATGATATGATTTAATGTTACCACTGGAACTCGATGACTGGCTCCGACTAACTAAGGGTGAAAATCGTGATAAGTATCCATCAAATTCATATTATTTGTAAGATATAGTGGTAATTTAAGTAACATACATCCTCCTCTTTGCGTCGTTCTCCTCATTACTGAGGGTCGTGACTCCCTCGCCGCATCAATCTCTCTTATACGGTTGTTCTCCATCTGTTGTGATCGTTGGCCTCGTAGTGAGTATCGTGGAGCTTGATGTCCAGACAAGGCCGAATTTGGTCCGACCATTTCGTGGGACTGCGTCCTCTGGGACGTTTGCCCTCCATCCTGCCCGTCACCATCAGCTGCTTAAGATTGAGACCCTTCTTTCGAGCAATGTGTCCAAAGTCAAATAAAGTAACATACATAATGCTACCTAAATTGTGTATTATGTAAATTACGTAACACAGCTTTGTTATACTATAAAAGTTATTCACGTAAGCCTGCCCGGTAGGTATTAGCGGTTTGATTGTCATCAAACGCATCCACTGGTATTTAATAGTAACAATGATGAGAGTCGCTTTATCATTAAGCCACGCGACCATACTTAATTACTAGTTGGTCCATATTGGCGATATTGGCCCAACGAACACGCCAACAGCTTAGGGAGCGCGTGTGCTCCAAAATTATAACAGCCAAGTGGCAATTATGAAATAAGCACTAACAATTTCAGTGCATTGCTTGTGTTATAATGAAACCGATGCATTAACAACATCCGTGGTATGAATAGATAGAAGGGGAATTGGCTGAGCAAAATTAAATTTCTAAACAGCCATAATGCAATACCATTTTAAATATTTCATTAAATGACTACTGCAATATTTATGAACATAAGGAC